GGAGGTGAGGTGGGAGGGGCTTCTTGTCAAATGAGGGTGACTTTGGCCTGTTTGCGCCACTGGCATTCCACATGGCGTTCTGCTGCTGGTGGATCTTGGCGCTGAGCAGGCGCCGCCTCAGGCTGCCCTCCGTTTTTGGTTGGAGAGCGACCATCTTACGTGGAAGTAGTTCATCTCGTTCTTCATCGGGTCCTCCGTTCCAGCAGTGTGATGTCACACCAGGAGCCGCCCCCTCACCACCCAGACATTCCACGTAAGAAATCATCCTGCTGGTTTGTTACGGGATCAGCTGTTTCATCTTCGTACCGCTTCCTGGTCAACAGTTCAGTGTTTTCAATAACTGTTCAAGATCCTTCACAAAAAAAGTCCCAGATAGATTCAGTCCTTCCACATGAAATGTTTCTCTAAAATTCTCAGAGTTCTTTGATCCTGGACAGCAGAAGGCTGGTCTCACCCGTCCTTCAGAATAAAACCAGAGGAAACGAGTCCGCCTCAATGTTCAAAGAAAAATTAAGAGAAAGAACTTTGAAAATGTTGTAAAACTCAAGATTTATGAATGAATCATTCTTCTCAGACGTTCTTCAGAATACATTCTGAAGAAGCTTTTCTGCATAACGTGAAAATATTTTCATCTTTAAAGAGAAATATCATCAGATGTTTTCTGTTTTAAGCTCAGAGTGGGATCTGCACTCCACACAAGTCTGAATAAAAAACGAAATCTCAAACATCCAGGAAACAAGTTCAGTTTTAGGCTCAAAACTCAAAGCAGCTTCTCCAGATTCCACCAGCAGTAAAACCTCAAACTTCCAAGAATCCAGAACCTCCTTCCTCTTTCTGAGTCTGGAAACACAAAAGTCCAGGAGTCCAAAAGTTGGTGTTTGAGCATGTTGAGAATACTCTGCTCTACCTCTCCTCTCTCTGTCTTTAATCTGCTAACAGGGATTATCCAGGTCTGCAGATGGTCGGTACTGATCGGGTTTGTACTCTGACACTCACACCACATGCTGCTGGGGGTCCGGGCCCATCCCGAGTCTCAGAACCAGAAACCAAAAGGTCAGCGTCCATCAAGCTTTAGTTTCACTTCAGCCAATGCTGCTGGGATGCAACGGTTTTCTGTTGAGCGCAACACAACAAGCTGCACGTTTCAGCACGTTCAAACCCGGATTAAAAAGCTGAAAATAGTTTCAACAAACACACAGAAGCCTGAAGTTAATCTGAGTTTAAGGAATCATCTGGGATTGCTGAAAATAAATGAAAAATATGGACAAAATAAAGCTAAATAATAAATAAACTAAACTCCAGGGTTAATTACATCATAAAGACTTCCACAAATAAACAAAAATAATCGACAGGAAAAAGAAACAACATTGTGACAATCACAAGTAAATCGAGCACAAGAAGGTTCAAAATAACCACAGGACAAAAATAAAACAACAACAACAACAACAATCCTAAAATATGATAATAAGAATATAAATGAAAGCTTTTGAGCAGAGAGAGAGAGAGAGAGAGAGAGAGAGGGGGAGAGAGAGAGAGAGAGAGAGAGAGAGAGAGAGAGAGAGAGAGAGAGAGAGAGAGACAGAGAGAGAGAGAGAGAGAGAGAGAGAGAGAGAGAGAGAGAGAGAGAGAGAGAGAGACCCCTCAGGGCCGATATGACAGTCTAATGGTAAAGAGACGACGGTGATAAATAACACAAGCAGGGAAATAGAAACGATCACCGACACAAGAACTAAAGAGAACGTGAACCCAAACAATCAGTTAAACGTTCTCCTGTCAGCAGAACAGCGGTTCTAGCTGCAGAGCCAGAACCTGCTTGTTGTTCTGACTCCATCCGTCATCAGAACCTTTAAACGTGTTTGATGACTGATGCCTGCAGGAAGAAGCAGCTGGAAAAGAAAGGAATTCAAGCGCCGAAAGATGTTCCAGGACCGGAACCGGGACCAGAACTAGGAACAAAGCCAGAACCAGAACCAGAACAAGAACTAGGACCAGAACAGGAACCAAGACCAGATCCAGTACCAAAACCAGGACTAGGAACAAAGCCAGAACCAGAACCAGAACAAGAACTAGGACCAGAACAGGAACCAAGACCAGATCCAGTACCAAAACCAGGACAAGGAACAAAGCCAGAACCAGAACCAGAATCAGAACAAAAGCTAGGACCAGAACCAGATCAAGACCAGACCCAGTACCAGAACCAGGACCAGGATCAGAACCAGAACCCTAACCAGGACCAGAAACAGAACCAGAAGTAGAACCAGAACCAGGACCAGAAACAGAACCAGAACCAGGATCAGAACAAGATCCAGGACCAGGACCAGGGCCAGGACTAGGACCAGGACCAGAACCAGAACCAGAACCAGAACCAGGATCAGAATTAGATCCAGAACCAGGACCAGAACCAGAACCAGAGCCAGGATGAAGAACCACTGCATCACAACAACTCATTCAGGCATCCCAGTTCTAATCAAACAGGGCCCTGAGGGTCAGACTGGGCCTGAGTGGACCACCTCACCGACCCAACAAGAGCACATGAAGAAGAGAAGGTTCACGGATCAGCTCTGCTCCTCCACCTCTGATATGCATCTGCTGACAGTTTAATCCATCTGGATCAGAAGTTTCTGCTGAAGGCAACATTTTACCTCAGATGGAGTCCCTGCCTTCAATTTTTAATCCTCCGCACACGCTCACTCACGTTTCAGGAGGATTTACAGACAGATAAAAGCATCAATGCACGTCCTTCAATCCTCCAAATTAAAAGTGTCAGCTTTCACAATCAGATGCAACTTCCTCATCATTTTCTTCTCGTCTGTTTGATTTTATCTTACTTGTGCATTTTTAAAGGATCTCTAAACTGTAAAACGGAAACAAAAAAATCCTCCCAAAAGACAAAATAATAAAAACTAAATGTTCTGCAGATGGAAACGACCTTGACTGAAACACTAGGAATAACTACAGGTTCACTGAAAACAGAGCGAGAGACAAAACAACAACAGCAAGGTGCAAAGAGACCAAAAACACAAGGAGACAGCCGGGAACCGCTTACTAAAATCAGTCTGGAAACAAACATTTTTGTTTTTATTTATCGTGTTTTGTTCAGCGGCCACGTCCACATATGTGTGTGTGTGTTTCAGCTGTGTGTGAGGGGCTGATCGGGATGTTTCAGCTTGCCTCAACAGGCCGGCACTCATTAAGCACACAAACACACGCTCAGATTCAAGAATGCACACATCTCCTGACCTAAAACCTTCAGCACACACACACACACACACACACACACACACACACACACACACACACACACACACACACACACACAAAACAAATACAATCCAGGAGCCACTTCAGCAGCAGGGCATGAGCGGGTCTGGGGTATTTTAGCTGTAACCATGGTAACAGCTGCACGAAGACTGCAGCAGCTGTAATCTGAAAACATGACATCTTCTCAACTCTTTATACCCTCCATTAATCTCTCTATGAGCACAGAATAAAGCATGCACACACACACACACACACACACACACACACACACACACACACACACACACACACACACACACACACACACATCAGAACGACTAAAGATATATGAGTGGCTTCAGAAACAAACAGCTGGACAATGTTTTGCTTAATTACTCACCTTTAAAGCACGGCATGCTGACCCAGATCACCTGGTATCCGTCAGTAGGTGTGTGTGTGTGTGTGTGACTGTAGCAAATCTGAAGGAAAGAAAACACAAGTTCAAACTCTGAGTCCTCCCTCTGACTCTTCTCCTTATTCCTCCACAATAAAAGCTTCCTTCCCGTCCTTGTGGAGAATTCAGCACGTTCTCGGATTCTGTTTCACGGTTTTGTGATTTACACTTAAACACACTTTTTCTGCTCTTTCACACCCAGTCAGTTATGACCTTACGTTTTCAGTTTCAACACCAAGCTGACAAAAAATAAGATACATTATATTTAATAGAGGACTGCAGCTGTTAAATACAAATGTTTTCCATCAAATTATTTTTAGACACATCTTCATGGAGTTTTTCCATATTTTTATTTCTTATTTGTTTTTATATATTTAGAGATGTAAAACATTGGATGGATTTTTTTTGTCCTGTTGGGGAGCAAAACGTATCTGGAAAATCTGTTTTGTTATTTTACAGTTTTACGTATTTTTATTCATTACAGCGGCAGCCTATGGAAACGAAATTATTTGAGATACAAGACAGTTTTGGTTTGCTTTCAGCACCCTTAGTGTCTGTTTTTAGAAACACACACGAAAATGTAAACACAAGTTACGAATCAAGAGTTACACACACAAATTTAGATACACACGCACAAATCTTTTGAAACTTTTTTCTCCCCATAGAACTTATCTCCTCGCTGTGCTTTCGCCTTTTTAACACCTTAATCTAACAGCTGAAAAGTCTCCTCAGCCTTAGTGTCCACAGGAGGGATTCATCATTAAATTAAACAAATCAGCTGTGCTCATGATCTACAATGCTCAGGAAAAGTGCTGAAAATAGACTCCAGCACCTGGTATGTCAGCTTCATCCAACAAAGTGGACTGGCACTCTGAAGTTGCAAATGCAATATTCAGGCTACAGGGGGAGGTGGGGGTCTGAGTCTCATCCTTTATTCACCACAATAAAAGCCTCCTCTTCAGTGATCAGCTTGGTTTGATTCTGAGGTGATTTTTACATCATAAAATACACACATTCCTGCTGCTTCATACCCAGTCAATTTCTTACCATCAGTTTTTAGTTTCTATTCAAAGTAAACCAAAAATACAGAAACTCAATAAGATTTATAAGAAAGACTGAAGCTGTTAAAATTTTAAAGTTATTTTCAATTTTTCTTTTCGTGTTCTAATCTTTTTACATATCTGAACTATTTTTGAGTCATGTATCCATCACTTAAAGTTGTTTTTATCTTTTCAAACATCGAAAACGTTTCACAAATATTTTCTCGCGATAAGTCACAACGCGAGATTTCTTGAGAAACCCTTCGCTGTGGTTGGCTGTTCAAAAGGTAAACAAGGAAGTGTGCAAATGATCGAGTAGTTCGTTGTTTTCGGTCACAAAACGAAGTTTTAATTCAATCAAACTAATTATTCCTTCCTGAGTTTCTTGTCAGATCAGTCAGAAGACTGTTGATACAGTCAAACAGAGACAGCAGGAACGGCAGGTGAGCGAAATTGTTTGTTTTTTTTAGAGCGCGTTAGCCTCTTAGCTAGCTGCGTCCGTCCACCTCCGTTATTATATTGTTGTGATTTTGTAGGGACAAAACAGGGATAATGTTTAGATTATACACGGGGATTATCATAAATCCGCACATAATGTCACAGTTTACTATCTAAAGTGTTTCCAAATCACATCTGGTTAAATATACATTTTGTGCTGTTAAATAATGCTTGTTCTATTAGCCCGATTCAGTGGTGAAAAATACTTTCAATTTTAATGACTTCATTATCAGTAAAAAATAAAAAACCTTCAGAAGCATTGAGCAATCGTGTTTGTTGTTTTTATATATTATAAAATACGTTTTCTAACAAAAACAACCAGCATTTTCTTCAGCAGAAACTCTAATCATGTAACCCTTAAAGCTTTGCTGGTTAATAAGAAAAATAATTAGACACATTTGTGATCGCCCTCTGCAGAGATGTCTGTCATGATCCAGCCTCGGGGTGAGGTGGGTGGCGGCGTGGCGGCTCACCTCCAGTGTTCCCACTGTGGCCATTTTTCCAAGAGCCATGCAGAGCAGCTGTCCCACCTGGCAACATATCACCCAACCTGCCTGGATGGCGTGACCGTGGGTCGCCTTGGAAACATCCTGATGTATCAGAGCAGCGCACGGTTGTTTCACTGCTTTGAGTGTTTCTACACCAGCCGAGACTTCGCCAAACTCTACAAACACATCATCACCAAACACTGCATAGACAACATGGAGGGGACAGTAGGACGAGGGGGGGGAGATGGAGGAGGTGATGCAGGAAGTAAAGGAATGGGTGATGCAGGTGAAGGAGGAGAGGATGCAGGAGGTGAAGCAGGAGAAAGAGGAGGTGATGCAGGAAGTAAAGGAATGGGTGATGCAGGTGAAGGACGAGAGGATGCAGGAAAAAGAGGAGGTGATTTAGAAGGAGGAGATAATGTTGGAGGACAGGGAGGTGAAGATGGGGATGTGAAGAGGGAGGGGGAAGTAGAAGAAGTGAAGGATGCTCCTAACAGAAAGAGCAGTGAGGAGGAGGAGCAGAGAAAGGTTCCAGAGTCAGTTAAAGTTAAGGTTGAAGGGGAGAAAAGGGATCTGATGATCGATGGTGGCAGCTTCCGCTGTCTGATCTGTGGCTGGAGGAACAAACATAAATCAGTGTCTGCCAGCCATGTGGTGCTGAAACATGAAATTCCCAAATCCTACGCCATCCAGGCCATCAAGTGGGAAGATGCTGTCCTCACCAAGACTCCTGGAGGCATGGCCGAGGATGAGGAGGGGGCCGGGCTGAGTGAGGAGATGCTGAAGAAGGAGATTGAAGCATCAGCCAAGGTGATAAGCTTCGTCTCCACCCGCTACATTTGTCTCATCTGTGGCTGGAAGACAAAGATCAAAGGTACTGTTGCTCCATTGTTGTACCTCAGTCAGAATGCTCTCCCACGACACTTATGGTTTTATGTAGAACACACACATTTAGAAGTGATCCGATGCTCGTTTTTATCTGACCGACACGTGATTGTTATAAATCCAGCTGATCTGGAAGCAGCATTCCTTGAGGATTTTTCTTCAACTGGGTTTTGGAAGCAAAACTACTTATGACTTTCTTGATACTTCCTCTTTATGCTTCTCTGGTTTATCCAGCAGCTTCAGATACACTCTCCTCTCTGGTTGCTATGGTAACTCCAGTTATAAGAGCTCCGTTGATCAAAGTTAAAAAGAGTTGACTGAAATCAGTTTTTCTTGAACCAAAATGTGAGTTTAAACATGTAATGTGTTTGTTGAATGTCCTGAATAAGCCGTGTGTGTGTGTGCACAGGATTTGCCATCAGTCACGTGGTGCGCAGCCACAACGTGGAGTGTCCATTCCGCTGTACAGAATGCCCCCAGAGCTTCTTCCTGCCCAGCCAGCTGCAGCATCACGTCCGCTTGTTCCACCGGCCCGGACGCTACGCCTGCCCCTTCTGCTCCTTCCGCTCAGAGTACATCGGAGGCTTCAGAAGACACTGCAGCCGCTGCAGTGTCCGGGAGGAGGTGGGAGAGGGTGCTGAAGGAGGGGAGGAGACTGTGGCGAAGGAGGCGAGAGAGTCCAGGAAACGTAGGAGCACCGAGATGATGATGATTGATGATATAAAGGAAGAGGAGGACGACTGATCTAAGTTTTTAGTCTGTTTAGAATCAATGAAACTAATAATTTGCTTCACTGAACTCTGAATAAAAATCTTTAAAACATTCAAGTGTTTTTAATGTTTGCTGAAGTGTTAAAAGTCCTCACTTTGTTCTCTAACTGCACCTTTAACCTCACTGTCCCTAAAGTCAAACATTCAAAATTCATAAACACTTTCCTAATCCCAGAGAGAAGTTAAATGCTTCCTAGGTGTGTTCTTGCTGTGTCGTATCTCTAATTCCATGCTGTGGAACAGCATGGAAGTTAAATGCTGTTGCATGATGGTGTCATGAAAATGATGTTCAAGGTTATTCATAAAGTTCTTGATTTTATGAAGAACGCTTCTTTGCACCATCATCTCCAGTGGTTCCAGTTGTCCCCTGAACAAAAGCAGCCTTTTTACCAGGTTGTTGAGCCTTTTTAGGTTCCTGGTTCTGTTGCTGCTACCCCAACAGATTACACTCATCACCGCAGACAGAAGATCTGCAGCTTCTTGCTGCAAACCTTGAAGAACCTGAGCTTCCTCAGGAAGTACAGTCTACTCTTCTTGTTGATGCTTCACTGTTGAGTCTTCAGTCCAGTCTGTTGTCCAGGTGGAAACCTGAAGACTTTCTATTCTTCCACCACCTCCAATTCATCTGATGTAAATAGAGCGTGGCCTAGCCTGTTTCCTCTGAAATCTACAATCGTCTCCTTTGTTTTGTCCAGACTCAAGATTAAGTGATTGTTCCTACACCATGCCATGAAGTGTTACAACTGCAGAATCATCTGAATATTTCTGCAGATGGAAGGTCTCTGACTTGAATGTACTGGAAGTCTGAAGTGTTCCGAGTGAAAAGGAATGGTCAGAGTACCGTGCCCTGTGGCGCTCCTGTGTTGCTGACCACCTGGTCAGACACACCTTCAGTCTCAAACTGGGGTCTGTTTGTCATGTAGTCATTAATGCAGATGAATGTTGAAGCCTCCATCGGTCCTCTGGAGTTTTTGACAAAGCAAATCAGGCTGAGTCGTGTTAAATGTGCCGGTGAAAACTAAGAACATAACCTGCATTCTCCAGATGACAGTGGGTTTGTTGAAGCAGGCGTAAGATGACATGTTCACCTCCAGCTCCACAGCAAACTGCAGGAGTCTCTCCAGGACCTTCGTGATGTGGGACGTCACAGCAACAGGTCTGGCTGATGGGTGGCATGTCTTTGGTACCAGAACAAGGCAGGATGTCTTCCACAACCCTGGAACCTTCTCTTGGGTCAAGCTAAGGTTGAAGAGGTGTCGCAGAACCCCACAGAGCACAGACCTTTAGGGCTCAGGCAAAGGGAGCAGCAGCATCTCCTGGTTTGATTAAGGGCAAACTTGTAGAAGCAGAAGAGTCCATGACTGGTCAGACAAAACATCTGACATGTAACAGGAAAGGTGAGGGTCAAAGTTTGGTGGGATGTCAGAGGATGCTGGGCTTGTTCTTGAACTGAACCCTATCATTAACTCCATTGTCTCCATTCGATCATCCCTGAGGCTGAAGCCTGAGACCACACATCTCTGACACGGCTCTTCTGTAGTTTACTCCAGCAGAAATGAATCCACTACAAAAACCTGAGCTGAAGAAAAGAATAAACCCACACCATATTTCTGTTTTTATTCAACTCAAATAAAGAAACCCGATGCTGACCAAAAATCACACAACACCTAAATAATGCCCCGTTTCTGTCTGAACATCCCTGTAAACATCCAGGCTCAAAATAAACAAATCAGCTTTTCTTCCACCAGAAAAACTCACGTTCTGCAGCTTTCATCACATCATCTAGATTTAAAAATGATATTTACATTTGTTTTTCTTTTGATTTGATTAAAATCTAGTTATTTTTCTTTAACTCCCACCAGGAAGTGATGTCAGACAAATATATGTAATACCACGTGTTTCCACTAGGCGGCAGGCTACAGCTGAGCAGCTAATCGGCTGCGTTTTTATTCCTGCATTGGAAAAACATTTGTGTTTAAAAAATAAAACTCCAGGTCACTTTCTAATTGCTCCAAGTTTTGAAGTCCAGAAAACTGACGTTCCTGATGGGAATCTGGAACACTCACCAACTGGAGGTTACGTGTCTGTCTGACCCGGATTCATCAGTCTTTGAGAACATTTCACAAACAGAATCATTTTAACAACACCACACCCACTCAGGTTTAGTTTGGCAACTGGAAGTTCTGGACACTTAGTTCCTGTATGGCTCTTTGTCGCTGCTGTCCCATAATCCCCGTGCAGGACCTCGGCTGACTGGGGTCAGAGGTCAGGTGAGCCGAGGGCACCACGACCCCTCAAAGGCAACCACGTCGATTCCCCTATGGCGTCCAATGTCATCCCCGTTATCGTCTTCATCGTCTTCCTTACAGAAGTCTCCTTTGTCAAAGAGAGTCGAGTCGCTGGTGGAAGCGTTCTGCTGAGGAACAAACCACAGAAGAAGAAGAGGTCAAAAGTATGGAGCCAAAGTTCTGTTCTGGATTAGAAAACATAGTAGGGAAGCCCGATCACAGATTATAAACTAGGGATGTTCCGATCACGTTTTTTGCTCTCGATCTGATTCAGAGTCATTTGATTTTAAGAATCTGCCGATACCGAGTCCCGATCCGATACTTTAGGAATGCCTTAAGAACAAAGAACACACTGGCGTTGTCCTTTACATTTTATTTAATCAGTAATGTGTTTCTTTCCGTATTCATGTCATTTTTTTTGTTTATCTGCCATAAAACATCACTTGTTTAATAAGTACATGAATAAGAAACGTGTTAATATTAGGAATATATGTAAAAGTAGCCTTATCACTCATATTTTAAATCGTTTACTCGGCATGCGGCTGTTTTCAGTGACAGGGATGTGAGAGCTGCTGCGTCTGTAAAGGTAGGAAGAGAAAGCAGATCACACCACGACTGAAGGAGATGTGAGAACCTGACGTCTGCAACCACATACACTCATCCAGCGTGATAAATACACGGCTATCTTTGCATTTATGATGTCCGTAGACCAGCGGTACTCAATAGGCGGCCCGCAGGTCAGGTCCGGCCCCCGAATGCTGTGATGTAATCTGCCTTAAAGGAGAATTGCACTCGTTATTTCAGTAAATCTGCAGTGTTGTCTAGTATCATTAATGACTTGAGTAATTTTAAATGGGGAAAAAGCTCTGGCACTCGTGCTTCGGGATATCTAAGTAAGCTAGTGGAGAGGGGAGCAGAAAACGGCGGGATTTGGAGTCGTACTCATTATTATCTGTGATATTCAGACATCTCGCCTCCGATTGGCTAAGAGCAACTGTCTTTGTGTGCTTTGCAGCAATGATGTTCTATTTCCAAAAATAACACAAGCCTGAAGGTGCTCTGCTGTGGGGTGGAGTTGCTAATGCTAACAGTTAGCTTCTACTGGCCTTCACTGTCATGGGCGAGTCCATGAATGTAAGCTTAGACATAAAGGTTTTTTTTCTGTTCTATGTATAAAAAAAAAAACTGGTTGTATTTCAAAATAACAAGCAGAAACAGTTTCTCTGTGAACCTCAGCCCCTGGAGTTAGAAACAGCCCAACTGGAATCGCCTGAAGCCTAAAACGACTGGATGAATTTCACAGATCTGTTTAGCTCACCGACGACCTGAGGAGGTGAGCTTTACCGTTCTGGTTGGAGGTTCTCTGAAAGGAGGACAAACCATGTGGAAACGAGGGATCGCCACCTGGAAAACCTCCTCCTTGTTGGCTGAAAAGAGAGAGACAAACCATGTAAGGTCATCAGAGAAGAGGAGCGAGGAGCAGAAGGGAGTGGAAAGGAGCAGAGCGCCACCTAGACTGTGGAATGTGTAGTGACCCTCCATGTACTCCGACGGGGTGGAGAAGGTGGTGCAGCTAGCGTACTCGTGCACCTTCCCAGGCGTCATGATGGGAAACTCTCCTGCACACAAACAGTCAGCAGCCGCTTTCAGCCAATCACAGCCTGTACGCCCTGTGTGATGTCATCAACGTACCGACCACGCCCGGGCCCTGGACCTCCTCCACATTCCCGTCGGAGGTGGTGATTTTCCAGTAGCGGCTGTCCAGCTGGCAGGCTGCTTCAGGCGAGGCGCTGCGGGACATTTCTATCCTGCAGACACCAAACTGGTTTAGTCTGGGTTTCGGTCCAGATCAGACTCCTCCCACTTAGTAGGATTAAATAAACCCAGATAGATATTTTATATTTATTAATATTTTTATTCCATCATTTAAAAAGTGTGTTTAAATAATTCCAGATGATATTTTGAAGAGATCAGAGCAGATGTGACTCATAAAAACTCCGGTCAGGATCAGCTCTAGATGCCTGATGTTTAATTAGGAATCACGCAGGGATGAGAACTTTGTGTTTAAGTGACAGGCGAGGAGCTCAGACCCACCTGATCCTGTAGGTGAAGAAGAAGTGAGGCGGGTGGACGGAGGAGAGCTCCGGTAGGAAGGAGGTAGAAACAGAAACGGTGATGTCACCGGTGGTGGCCACACAGCCTTTCTCGTGAACGTACCTGCAGACATCACAGGGTCAGGTCTCTGTGGGCCAACAGCTATGGACCAATCAGGTCAGGTGTTACCTGAAGATCTGGTCTTTGATGATGGGATACTCCCCTGTGACCACGTTGTTGACGTAACCAGTGAACCAGTCTGAAAAACTGGTACCTAAAAACACAAACAGTTCAGTTTAAACAAAAGCTGGGTGTCAGATCCAGATGGATGGAGATGTCGCGGTCCTTCAGGAGATCTACAGACCTGTGATGAACATGTCGATGGCTGAGGGATCCTGAGCTGTCTGATCCTGGAACACAAACACAGGCGTCAGTACCTTTAAATGCGTTTGTAGCTTTATTTTGAAAGCACATATGGAGAGGAAGTTTACAGACGGGACAGGGGTAGAAGCTCTCGCTCTTCCGGCGTCCCTCAGCGTCTTCCAGAGCCAGGTACTGGCTGAGGCCCGTGTGGAAGCAGAAGGTGAGCGGGAGGCAGCGTCTCATCCCCTTCCTGAGCTGGAAGCCTCCAGCCGCCGTCTCCACGTCCAGCAGGACCTCAGAACGGTAGTGGTTGGACAGGGACATGCTGCCCATCAGCCTGGAGAGACGGGGACACACGAGTCAGACCAGGACAGAAGATGGGGGCGGAGCTAGTTAGTGGGACCAGTACAGACCCGGGGATCACTAGCTTCTGGCCGTTATGGATCCGATACGAACAGCGATAGTCATCAGGGAGCTTACAGCCAATCTGACCCTCAATTTCTTCTAACTCCACTTCTGTGGCGCCGGCTAGAGAAACACACACACACACACACACACACACACACACACACACACACACACACACACACACACACACACACACACACACACACACACACACACACACACACACACACACACACACACACACACACACACACACACAAGTTGGCTGAATGACCAGAACTTCTGCAGGAGAACAACACATTCTCAGGTAGCTCAGAACAGTTTGGACTCGTGTTGGATCTACCATCGCTGGGACCAGGACTTCCAGTACGGTTGTTACCTTTGAGCGAGGCGATCATACGAGGACATCGCTGCTGCAGGAAGTTCTTCAGCTGCTCCCAGGACTTCTTCAGAACCACGTAGTGTTCAATATACCGACCCAGGTCTGAGTAGAACTTCTTAAAAAGGCTGCACCAGGACAGGCCACTCTGCAACCGGTCTGCACTGATATACCACACACACACACACACACACACACACACACACACAACTTTAGGCTGTGTGTTCCCAGATGGTTTATGTTTGTCGGGATGAACTCACTCTGTCAGCAGCCAGTGGTTACAGCAGTGGCGCCTCCACAGCGGGTTGTGTTTGCACAGATCGTTTAACCTCTTACTGACGTAGCTGCAACTACACACACAAAAAAGGTGTGGACACAATCAGAAGGGGCGGAGTTAAAAGCTATAATCAGAACTATTGCCACCCTCGTAGGTTTTCAAAAAGCCTAAGGTGTCTTTGTTTATCCAAGACCTTTGATGATAATTTATACTTTTTGTGTGAATTAACCAGTGGAACATTAAAGCATGACTGATCCTTCACTTGGGATTCATATAAACACACAAGCCACACCCACAAAAGGTGTGTTTCATCACACCTAAGATCCTCAGGTTACTCTAGAACATATTTGAGAGTTTATTAATATTCCACCATGAAATGCTCTTTTGTTTATGTTAATTATTTATAGCCTCAGTGAAAATATTTTTGCTTTAAAATAATTTCTAAATAAACTCAACAGCACATTATAATAAACAAGCTGTTACTTTACTTTCACTTTTACTTTGTGAAACTTAAAAACAAACTAGCAGTTTTCTCTTTTAATGTTGAAACAATGAAGCTCATAATAAATCTGTATTTATTTTTAATCTAAATTTTGTTTTTTTTTTTATGTTTTCACATCAAGAAGCTGGTCTTTAGTATTTCTAAAGTATTTTGTCTGTTGTTTTGATTTAGTCTATTATAAATGTATTGAATAAAACAGCCGGAAAACATTTAAGGTGATTAAAAACAAATAGACACTTGTTACGCTCTTATTAAACTCTCACTGTTTTTGTTTATGAAGCATGAAAAAAAGGAAACTCTCGCAGGATTCAAAATGATCAGCTGTCAGATTGTTTAAAATAAAAATAAAATATTTACATCAAAAATAACAACTTTTGACATTTAAATGACTTTTAATAAGATCAATTCTGAGTTCAATCAGAGAAAACTTAAAAGCGGTAGACAGAAGTAAACAAACCGCAGCTGTTAGCATGCGGCTAAATGTAAACAAGATCGTTATCTTTATCTATGAATCTTCACGTTGCCACGGAACAAAGTGGAATATTAAGTTTCTGTTCGGTTACAATAAGTATCTTCTGTAAACAGCTGACACGAATTTTTACATGTTTTATTAAAAATTAGAACAAAACTAAAGCTAATGTTTCAAACGATCCGCTGTTAGCTGCTAGCCTCCTGCAGTTTGTTTACGAGTCTGTTTAAAGAAAAATACCAGCTTTTTGTTAGTTGAACCTGTGCGAGTCGGGAACTTACTGGACCACGTCTCTGTAGCTCAGGTAGGACAGGATGTGGAGAAGTGGGTCTGAAGGAAGATGATCCAGCTGGATCTCCGAGGAGGCTGCCATTGTTAGCACCAATGTGGCCGGCTAGCTACATCTACGATACAAAGAACTACTGCCACCTACTGGCGAGGAGCCACAGACATCCAATAATTTATTATATTCACGTTAAAACCATATTTCAGCAGTCATTGCATTGAGCAGACTGATGACAGTAACGTTTATCTATACTGAAATTGAGTTGAAAGAGTAAGAAACAGCTAAGTGCTAAAAGGCACTCAGGCCAACTCGTGTCTTCATGGTGGAGATGCTGCTCTCTGGCGGCACTGAGTGGTACCTGCAGCTGGTCTTCAAGCTCTGGTTTGCATGAGAAACATCTGCTGGGATGTTCACAAAAACCACAAACAGAACCATCAGTGTGGTGTCTTTGTGGGCGTTTTGGGTCGGCTCTGTTCTAACGGGCCTCAGTTTGCAGAATAACAGGATAAATGAGCCGGTTCTGACTTTACTGATGAATGTTCCTGACAGGATGTTCAACATGATTGTTACCTGATACCTGTCCTTAGAGTCACATGTTCCTCATAACATCTCTGTGGGCGGGGACATCGGGAGGTCAGAGCTTTCTGACTAGGTGTTCACCATTAGCCTGGATGTTTGGGTCTCTGTTACCTGCTCATGATCAGCTCGCCTGGGCTTGCTGTCATCTGCTGTCAGAAACCAACCTAAACCTCTCACCAAGCACTTCCTTTCACCTTGAGTTTGGAGCTTCTGAATAGATCATTATCCACAAACTGAACATCAACAAACAACCAGCTGATCAATCAGGCCAGATCAGAACGTCTCCAACTTCCTGTTTCAGATCACTGAGTTTCACAAGGAAGAAGAAGGTCTGAGGCATGGACGTAATTTTTACTTTAGAAGTGTGTGTGTGTGTGTGTGTGTGTGTGTGGGGGGGGGGGGGGGGGGGGGGGGGGCACGGAGGGGGGTGGGTGGGTGTATCTTTACAGTATGTTCTAATGGGAAACAGGCTTCAACACAAACAGTTGTTTTCTGCTTGGTCCTAGAGCTCAACCAGTGTCAATTTAATATAGCGTAATATTGTTTTTGGATGGTAAAAAGTGCAGGGGTCAAAACTCGACTTTGGAAAAAGTGGGAGGGATATCCCCCCCCCCCCCCCCCCCCCCCCAAATTACATCCACGGTCTGAGGTGAACCTTTTTTGTAGCATGGGCCGTGTCAGGCGGTAGCTTGGGCCAAGCAACGGTTCAGCAACCCCAACGCTTGAACGCACCCCCACCACCACCCCGCGTGCGCTCCGTGCCGACATGCGCTGGCCTGGAGAGTAGCATGCAGGCTCTGTCTCGCATTTAAGACAGTCTCCCGTTTTGTGTTTAAATCTTTCATAAACTGTGCGGAGAAAGCCGGAGCTGGCATCAAACCAGGAGGCCGGACCAGGGTGGGGGTGGGGGGTGGGGGTGGGGGGGGGATGGCTGGATATCCTACACATCCAGGGAGAGTCGGGAAAATGTTTCCACCTATATTACATCATTTATATCATGGACTCAGTGTACCGGGGCTTCTTTGAGCGGAGAGCACAGAGAGCGGCAGAGCGCTGATCGCTGGTGCGCTCCAGGCAGCTGCGTTCTGCTCACCCATTCTCAAAGTGGTGCAACCCAAAAAAAAAAAAACTATAATTAACACACGATCGTTCATGTCCTCTGGTACTCTGTCTTTTAATCGTGCCATGACGCACTCGCTCATCATGTGCTGCAGTGATTTCACCTCACTGATCCAGCATCCATCTGCTCAAAGTAACTGATGAGGTAAAAAAGTAAGAATCCAGGCAGCAGATTTTCTGGAGCGTTTAGAGGAGATGCAGGAAGATGAGAGACAGACAGGACAGGAAATAGTTAAATAAAAACAAGAAAACAAAGTAAAATGTAGGTAGATGTATCTCCACTTCACGTTTTTACCTGTATTAAACAACAAGTTATACACGTGTAATATTTATACATCTGATACAATTCGGATCACCTTCAACACTCAGTCACAGTTTGGAGTTTGATTTTGTCTCCAGTGTAAAAGTATGGACATCTTCTCAGTGAAGATGTGTGTGAAGGTGTGTATTCAGTTCAATTCAATTCAAAAATACTTTATTAATCCCAGAGGGAAATTGATTAAGTATGTGTGTGTTTGTATCAGGATCAGAGAACAATAGCTTTCCTCTGTTCCAGTCCAGGTTCAGTCTGATCTTCTGGAGCTGCTTCTGGAATGAGAGACTGGTGCTCCTTGTGATTCTGCTGAGTATTTGTCTTCATAGAACCATATTCTCCATAATCCAGAATGCATCCCTCCCTTCCTCTGACCAGAATCTGCAAACACACCAATGTTCCACCATTTAATGCCTCTAAAATCAAAATCCAAGCTGTGATTCCTTGAGTTGTTTGGGTCCAGAATGATGGAAGTATAGGAGACCAGCTCCTTCATGTTGTTCCAGATGTTGAAGGCCAGGTTGCCCAGATGTTTAGTCTGGTCTATCAGAGCTCCCGACGGCAGCTGTGGACCATCCAGCAGGGGGCAGCGTTGGATTCTTTCTACTTGTAACCTTGTAGTTCTTCGGGAATGAGACGTCTTCAGCTCTCAGCTCCTCCTCTGTGGTTCTGATGGTGTCTGACAGAGTTTCTATCTGCTCAGAGCCTCCATCTTCTCCTTCATTATCCCTCTTTCTGCTCCTCTTCCTCCCTCAGAGCAGCCAGCCTGGCCTCCTCATCCTCAGTCAGAAACTGATGAAGTCTCTTAAACTGCTTCTTGATCTGCTTCTCTGTGAGTCGGGCCTGGACCTTCATGTTGAAATGTCCAGAAATGGTCAGTTTTCATGTACAGTTTGACCCCTTCAGTATCTGGTCTACATGGAGACAGGAGTCTGCATGTGTTGCCTTTAATCTGCCGGGCCCTGCTATTCCATCAGCTGGGGTCTCTCTACATCTCGGAACACATGTCAACAAACTGTTCCCTTCTCAAGGCCCGTCTGTGCCAAGCCTGCCTGGTTATCTAGGTCGGACTGGACTGTTATAAGAGTGGTTGTTTTCAGCTTATATGAGTTAATCACAATTAATAACATAACATTTTATAATAATATACAACTAACAATAATAATAATGTTTTGATTAATCTGTGCTTAAATCAATAAGGTTGACTGATCTGTGATTATATATATATATATACATATATAATCTTACGAAAGCTGCTGCTGCTTCTGCTGCTGCAGCTGCAGCGTGGTGCGTGGGTAGAAACACAAGAAATCAGCCCTTTAGGGCTCTGCTTGAGGAGAGGCTGTTGGTGTCCTTTTACAGGGCAGCCATTGAATCCGTGCTGGTGTATTCCATCACTGTGCGGTTTGCAGCCTGCTCAGCTGCAGACAGGAAGGCTCTGCAGAGTGTTATTAGTCATCTGAAAAGATCATCGGCCCACCCCGGAGAGCATCGCCAGCTCCAGAGGTCTAAGGAGAGCACAGCGAATTGTGGCGGGCTCTTCTCATCCAGGACACCGGCTATTACAACTGCTTCAGGTCCCAGAGGTGCAGAACCAATAGACGGAAGGCCAGCTTTTACCTGTGGGCAGTGAGAATCTGAAATGGCTCCACTTGATGACAGGAAGGGCCTTTTCCGTTATTTTTCTTTTTAAAGAGAAGGAGTTTGCTACATCTCCTATACTGACTGACTGGTTTTATGCACTTTTAAAGTTGTTTTTAGCAAAAATTTGTATTTTTTACATTGCTTTATTGAACATTTTAGTGCAATTTTCAGTGGAAGCTGTTTAGACATGTGGCACTTACGTCTGTTGTTTAAGGCACTGTGTCAGATGAGGCCTGTGTACATAATCTCGTCATGCTTTGCATAAAGACAAAGAATTCAATTCAGTTCAGTTCTTTATTATCTGGCCATCGAGAGAGGGGATTCGCCCGCCCTCTAGCTGATCATGTAAGCCGTACCACAGCCTTCGTAAATCCAAACAAGATACAACTCAACAACACGTGCTCCTTCAAAATAAAACATACCACTTCAAAAATGACTACAGATTTTAAAGGACTTTTATCAACACAGTCAGTCGAGGTAACAAGAAAGCCAGAACGTCTTCACTCCTATAAACTACTTAAGTTTAAAAGTTTCCATAAATATCATCATTCCGTAGGATTGTCAATACTCTCGTTACAAAAGATTTTCTTCTCTGTATAGAAACAAAATGGTGCTTTTCGTTTCTTCAAAAATAACAACAAATCTGTTGATTGAAGTTTAGAGTCCTGTCTTTTTTCTCAGAATTAAAATTGTTCTCTCAGAAATGAGAGGTGAAAGTTACCTTTTCAGTCTCTCTGGTCCACTTCACTACGTATCTCTCTAAAGTTATGAGCAGTCATTCATGGAAACTTCCTGTAACGCTTGTGTCTCTAAACTAGACTTCCTCTGATGGACTGAGGGTGAAAACGTCTCTCTGGATCGTAATGACAGCAGACCTGATGCCCTGATTCAGGTCAGCTGGATGGAAACAAGAAACCGTCTTTTACTGCTTCCATTGTGACTTAAAGGGATTTTCTCTCATTAAATTAAACCTGTTATTAACTTATAAATAAACTATTTCAACTCAGAAATAAAGGAATTATATCCAGTAAAGCATTTCCGCCAACACACACTGTCTACTTTACATTACATGGGTTGTTTGTTTTGAGCTCAAGTGACCTTTGACCTCATCCAGGGTTTTATAGTTTTGAATCAGTTTATATCCAAGCAGACGAGAGCAGCTGCCAGCCCTTTAGGAGGGTTCACGACGACTCCAGTAAGATAAAAACTGATTGCTGTTCATTTGGGATTAAAATCACTATTTTAGTGTTTAAAACCCGATTTAATCACTTGTTTTCATCTGTTTGACAGCTTTATGTGAGAAGATGTTTCACTTTTTAAATCTCAGATTAGATCAGAGTTTTGTTTCTTCAGGACTAAAACTGATGGATCTGAAGTTTAACTCCGTTTATCTTGTTTTTCTCTCAGGCTGTTTTAAGCTCAGTGAGGCTAAAATCTGTTTCCAACATGGAAAGGTAAAACTGTTTTAATGTTTGCTCTTTTTATTCATCTTCTTCTTTAAAGAGTTGAAAATCAGACCTTTGCTTTGTTTTATTTCAGACTGTAATGTTCTCTTTAATTAGGCTCACAGATCATTTATTATACATCATTAGAAATAAATCTATTTATTTGTGTCACTTCAGCCTGTTCAGCTTTTTTTTTTTACCACAAACACCATAAGCAACAACCCAGTTTAAAAAAACATCGTAGTATTTTAACAGTTCAAATATAATAAATGAAACATAAAAATGTTCCTTTCGTTCTCAGATAATTCAACCTTTTGTTCTTATTTCCTTTTCCTTCCACCTCTATGAAACCTTTCCAGTAAATTATCCATCAGGACCAATCAAAGTTCCTCATTGGACCTTTTTACGACTTTTCCTGTAAATCAAATGGACTTTAGACCCTCAGCCGTGTGTTTTACTGCAACAGTCATAAAGAAAAATGTTTGTATCGAGACTCAAACGAAACTAAAAGTTATAAAACAACAGAATTTTTGTTTTTAATAATAAACATATCCTCCGTAATGGAGGAGAAAGTCAGCTCCACAGTGGTACAGTGGTTAGCATTGTTTCCTTGCAGCAAGAAGGTTCTGGGTTCACATCCTGGTCTGGTTCTTCCTGTAAGGGTGGGTTCCATCTGGGTGCTCTGGCTTCCTCCCACAGTCCAGAAACATGACTGTCAGGCTGGCTAGTTTTTCTACATTTCTAAATTGTGCTTAGGTGTGAGTGTGTGTATGCTTGGTTGTTTGTGTTGCCCTGCAATGGATTGGCAATCTGTCCAGGGTGTACCCCGCCTGCTTGCCCATTGACTGCTGGAGATATGCACCAGCCCCCCGTGACCATTCAATTCAAAAATACTTTATTAATCCCAGAGGGAAATTGATTGCTGCAGTAGCTCAGAATAATAATAATAATAATCAAGTCATCAAAGGGTTATTGTATATTACAATGGCTGTTGGCAGGAAGGATCTCCAGTAGCGGTCAGTGTTGCAGCGAAACTGAAGAAGCCTCTGACTGAAGACACTCTTCCGTTGTCGGACAGTCTTGTGAAGAGAATGCTCAGGGTTGTCCATCATTTTCTTGATTCTCTGGAGAATCCTTCTTTGCATGATCTCCTCCAGCGGTTCCCAAACAGCCGATACTCTGGCTGAGTCCTTGAAAGGGCTTGGAGTTCCTCCATCTTGTTGGCCAGTGATCTCACATTGCCTATTATGATCGATGGAAGAGATGGTTTGAATTTCCTCTTTCTCTGTCTCAGTCTGGCTCCCGCTCTGCACCCACGCTTCTTGCGTTTTAGTTCATTTGGGATTTGTGGCTGCAGTTGAGGTATTATTTCAGCCTTTCCAATGTTAATCAGCTGCTCCCGATTGTAAACCAGCTTGTTACCATGGTTACGCATAATAACAAATGCTCAAAAAGTGAAAAAAGCTAAAAGAAATAGCAGTAAAAATCCTCCAAGCTTCACAGCACCAGAAACAGAAAAGTTAAGTGTCCAAAAAAATACAGTTTTTCTTGAGAAACTAGAAGAAAAAATGCCCAAGAAAAGGTAAAACTTACATATAGTCAACAGAGCTACTCCAACATGCAGCCACCCAGAGCAGCGCAGTTCCTTGTTCACGCACGGACAAGCAGGTTAAGATAATGGATGGAGGAGTTGCGGGGAATTTCCTGACATGTTTGATCCTTTTTTCTGTTGACTGGTTTTAGACTCACTAACTAGTTTTGAAAAGAAAGAAAGATGACAATTTATGTAGCACTGTATATGTCCCCGACAGGAGGTGTTAGAAGGTGAAGGAGGGGGTGACATAAGAAACATGATAGTGGGTTTAAAATGGGTTTAACTGTTATAAAAGTTTCTAAAATCAAGTGTAAATGGAAAGCATTATTAAAATAAAGCTAAACAAAACACCAAGACTAAAAGGTTAACATTTAAAGGACCAATTCACATTAAAAACACCTGGTTAAAACTTATTTTAAAAGTTTTACCAAACAGAAGGAGTTTCCAAAATCCACAAGTTGATAATAAAAACCAATGCACAAAAAAAAAAAACTGTGTTTTTAAATCCCAAAGTCGGTAAACTGCAATGTTAACCTTAAAACAGAGTCAAATTGACAAAAACAAAAATCCCTTTGGATCACTCAGAGTTAAAACTATCAGAGTTAAAACTCATCTACTCGAAGGGGTTGAACCCAAACTGTCATGTTGCGAGGGTGGAGATGGTGGACCAAGTGTGTTGGAGGGTTCCAGGAGGCAGAAGAGCAGGCACAGATGAAACAAAAATGGATTTAATAGCAACAGGAGTGACAGGACAAAACGAGACATGCACATACAATGATCCGACAAAGGACAGGAGCAAAACAGGTGGTATAAATACACAAGGCTAATTAGGAAACATGGGCAGGTTAACGAGGGACAGGTGAGAACAATATGGACTAATCAGGGCAGGAGAGAAACAGTCAGGAGGGCAAGGGCAGATCGTGACACAAACTGAGGCCTGGAGGACAGCAGAACCCCTGCACTGCTGTCTCTCAGACTGCTGACGGCACAGCCTTTTTATCCAGGTGTCTGTCGTCAAAGCCTCTCATCTCAGCTGCTTTCCTCAGCAGCCTGGAAGAGAGGAGGAGGAGGGGCGGTGTCAGGCTGATCACCGGGGCTGGGTGATCCTGGCTCCTGCACCTGAAGAGGCCAGGCTGGTGGCCATAACAAGCACCTCTCAAGATCAAAATCACGAGGCGCTTCACAAAAACTAAAAAGTACAAAAAAGATTTCAAAAAATTATAAAAAAAAATGTGTTTAAAATGAAACAAAATTAAAAAGTGTGATTAAAAATGGAAGGAAAGGGAGAGAGAAAATGAAAAGGAAAGAGTGAAATCAGTGGATCCCGGGAAAGGCAGAATAAGGAGAGGGTGGTGATGAAGGTCCCACCAAAGCCAGCCTGAACAGGTGAGTTTTCAGCTGCTTTTTAAAGGAGACCACTGAGTCCACTGATCTCAGGCTCAGGGGGAGAGAGGTCCAGAGTCTGGGGGCCACAGCAGCTAATGATCTGTCACCTTTGGTCTTTAGCCTGGTGCGCTGCTTACTGTTTCCAGGTCTAAACAAACATTCTTGTTTCAGGTCTTCAAAGAGAAGACCAGAACCTCCTTCTCATCCCAGAAGTTTGTCCCTGCAGAGTGATCAATCTGCAGATTATCCTTTGAACTTTAAGGACAAAATGAGATTTTTTGAAATGAGGTGAAGATTTTAATCTCAAACTTATGTTTTTGCTTTTCCATCAAAAGCTGCAGATTAAAACTCCATTTTCAGTTCTTCTTCCAGGGATCCTCTGACGCAGAAAAGCTCCTCAGAACTCAGTCTTATCTCCATAAAGAGTACCAGATCCCTGGATTATCCTCTCAACTTCAAGGATGGGTCAGTTCCCTTTAGAAACCCAGTTAACAAGATCTAAAACCCTTTAACCAATCAGGCTTCTCTGTTTGTTTCCTTCAGAATTACAGAGGATAAGTCAGAGAAGATCAGTGGTCTTAACCAGAACCAGACAGTGATGGACGTCATCTTTAAGGTGTCTGTTTCACAGTTACTGGATACCAGTTCAACCTGTTTTACAGCCTCTTGTTACCAGTGGGGAGAAGTAGAGGCTGACCCATCAGCCCACAACAGCAGGACTGGAGAAGTGGAAGGAGTTGGTGGCTGGAGGTCCTGGGATGTTGCTCCTGTGAACTGGAACCAGCAGAATTTAAATGGACGACTATCTCCAAACATCAGTTGCTGAGTTAAAATCAATTTTTGTTTCTTCTGTTTAATTCTTACTTTCTTCTTTCAGACTCTTGAGGAGAATATTATGAAATTTGTGAAGAACGAGCTGATGAGGTTCCAGACAGTCCTACATCCGCATCAGACAGAACATCCAGAAGGTCAAAGCTCAGTGGAGGAGATGTTCCTGGGTGTAGATGAAGAGCAGAAGAGGAGCAGCAAAGAGTCCATTTTAAACATCACGCTGCTCTTCCTGAGGATGATGGAGCAGGAGCATCTCGCTGATTTATTACACAACAGTACGAGATCCAAAACCAGAACAGCACCTTCACGGTTTGGTTTTCCTCTTTGGATTGATTATTTTTTTTGTCTCTTAAAATTCCAGAAACTGTCGCACCTTTAAGCACAAATAAACTCAAATCTGCTTTGAAGAAGAAGTCCCAGTGTGTGTTTGAGGGGATCGCTAAAGCAGGAAACCCGACGCTCCTGAATCAGATCTACACAGAGCTCCACATCACGGAGGGAGGGACTGGAGAGGTCAATGATGAACATGAGGTCAGACAGATTGAAACAGCCTCCAGGAAAGCACAAAGATCTGAATCAACAATCAGACAAGAAGACATCTTTAAACTCCCACCTGGAAGAGACGAACCAATCAGAACGGTGATGACAACGGGAGTGGCTGGCATCGGGAAAACAGTCTTAACACAGAAGTTCACTCTGGACTGGGCTGAGGACAAAGCCAACCAGGACATCCACTTCCTGTTTCCGTTCACCTTCAGAGAGCTGAATGTCCTGAAGGAGAAGAAGTTCAGCTTGGTGGAGCTTGTTCATCACATCTTTACTGAAACCAAAGACATCTGCAGGTTCGATAAGTTCCAGGTGGTCTTCATCTTTGATGGTCTGGATGAGTGTCGACTTCCTCTGGACTTCCACAACAAGGAGATCCTGACTGATATTACAGAGTCCACCTCAGTAGATGTTCTGCTGACAAACCTCATCAGGGGGAACCTGCTCCCCTCTGCTCACCTCTGGATCACCACAAGACCTGCAGCAGCCAATCAGATCCCTCCTGAGTGTGTTGGCATGGTGACAGAGGTCAGAGGGTTCACTGACCCACAGAAGGAGGAGTACTTCAGGAAGAGGTTCAGAGATGAGGAGCAGGCCAGCAGGATCATCTCCAACATCAAGACATCACGGAGCCTTCACATCATGTGCCACATCCCAGTCTTCTGCTGGATCACTGCTACAGTTCTGGAGGATGTGATGAAGACCAGAGAGGGAGGAGAGCTTCCCAAGACCCTGACTGAGATGTACGTCCACTTCCTGGTGTTTCAGACCAAAGTCAGGAAACTTAAGTACCATGGAGGAACTGAGACAGACCCACACTGGAGTCCAGAGAGCAGGAAGATGATTGAGTCTCTGGGAAAACTGGCTTTTGATCAGCTGGAGAAAGGAAACCTGATCTTCTATGAATCAGACCTGACCGAGTGTGGCGTCGATATCAGAGCAGCCTCAGTGTACTCAGGAGTGTTCACACAGATCTTTAGAGAGGAGAGAGGAGGACTGTACCAGGACAAGGTCTTCTGCTTCATCCATCTGAGTGTTCAGGAGTTTCTGGCTGCTCTTCATGTCCATCTGACTTTCACCACATTTGGGGTCAACTTGCTGGAGAAGCAGCAGAAAACATCCAAGAAGTCCAAAACAGGATCATTTGTTTCTCCTCTGACAAACTTCTACAAGACCTCCGTGGCCAAGGCCCTACAGAGTCCACATGGACACCTGGACCTGTTCCTCCGGTTCCTCCTGGGTCTTTCACTGCAGACCAATCAGACTCTCCTACGAGGCCTGTTGACTCAGACAGGAAGTAGCTCACAGACCAATCAGGAAATTGTTCGTTACATCAAGAAGGAGATTGAGATGAGTTCTTCTCCAGAGAAGTGCATCAACCTGTTCCACTGTCTGAATGAACTGAATGATGGTTCTCTAGTGAAGGAGATCCAACTGTTTATGACTTCAGGAACTCTCTCCACAGATGAACTGTCTCCTGCTCAGTGGTCAGCTCTGGTCTTCATCTTACTGTCATCAGAAAAACATCTGGATGTGTTTGACCTGAAGAAATACTCTGCGTCAGAAGAGGCTCTTCGGAATCTGCTGCCTGTGATCAAAGCCTCCAACAGAGCTCTGCAAGTTCTGAGATACCAAACTTTGTTGACTCTTTAATGACGTAGAAGATGCCTTCATCTCTGCATTCTACTGCTGTCTTCTCAGGTTGGGTGGTTGTAGCCTGTCAGAGAGAAGCTGTGAAGATCTGGCCTCCGTTCTCAGCTCTCCGTCCTCCAGTCTGAGACAACTGGACCTGAGTAACAACGACTTGAGGGACTCAGGAGTGAAGAAGCTGTGTGTTGGTCTGCAGAGTCCTCGTTGTAGACTGGAGTCTCTCAGGTCAGGGCTTTGATTTATCTGTTTAGCTGATTGAAATAAAGAGGAGAAGAACAAACGTGGAGAATGTTTTATCTGTTTCAGGCTGTCAGGTTGTCTGATCACAGAAGAAGGTTCTGCTTCTCTGGCTTCAGCTCTGAGATCTAACACATCCCACCTGATGGAGCTGGACCTGAGCTACAACCATCCAGGAGAAGCTGGACTGAAGCTTCTCTCAGATTTACAGAAGGATCCACAGTGGAGCCTGGAAACACTCAGGTGAAATGAGGGTCCATACTGGTCAAGGCTCACATCCTAGACAACTAAGTTACTTTCTTAGATCAGGAAACTGTTTTCTGCCTTAGATGAGGTTTCCTTCCATCTGAGTTGTTTAGGCCAGAGCAACCCCCTCACATGGGTTCTGTTTCCTCCACAGGGCAGACCATGGAGGAGCCTGGACCCTACAAGCAGGACTAAGGAAGTGTACGTTTGTTTCTAACTAAAACCATGTTTCTCCTGATAGATTTATTCATCTCAGTTCATCTTGTCATTGTAGATTCTTGTCAAATTACTCTGGACTTCAACACGGCACACCATCACCTGAACCTGTCTGACAGAGTGGTGAGGGTGGATCCGACACAGAGGTCTCATCCTGATCATCCAGAAAGGTTCGACCACTGGCAGCAGCTGATTTGTACCAACGCTCTAACTGAACGCCATTACTGGGAGGTGGAATGGGAAGGGATGGTGGCCATTGGAGTGGCTTATAGAGGAATCGGCAGGAAAGGTGACGGCACCAGCTGTCTGCTTGGAGGGAACCATCAGTCCTGGAGTTTGTACTGTGCAGGAAATACTTACTTTGTTTTCAGCAAAAACAAGAAAAAAAACCTTCATTCACCTTCGTCCTTCTCTAAAAGAGTAGGAGTGTTTCTGGACTGGAGCTCTGGAACGCTGTCCTTCTACAGAGTCTCCTCAGACACTCTGATCCACCTCTGGACCTTCAGCACCACGTTTACAGAACCTGTCCACCCTGCCTTCAGGGTCGGGTTTGGGCAGAGCACCTTTAGTTCCTCCGTCTCTCTCTGTGAGCTGAAGTAGGACCAGTCCAGTCTGAAGAGAAAGCTCCACAAGATCATGATCATGATCTAAATGATCTCCTTTTCTGAACTGATCTGTGATGGATGCACCAGGGGTGTGTCCAGGGAGTGGCTTGGGGTAGCACATGCCACCCTTGGAATCTGATTGGCCACCCCAGGTGCCACCACACTAATTCACCTTTAAATCGGCTTTTCATTGTCCACAAAAGTCTTGGGGGTAAAACAAAAAAAGCATAACCATTGGTGCCACCCATGCACAAAGTTGTGTCTTTGCCTGGGCCACCCCATTTTAAAAGATCTGGACACGCCACTGGGATGCACTCAACATTCATAGCTTTTTCATTCAAGAACCTTTTTAATGATGGCAACAAAAAGGGATGATCTTATCCGATCTGGGTTTCAATATGACATAAAAACAAAGAACACCCAGATAAAAGTACAGTTGTTATTAGCTCACGGTTAATTTTTTTTTACAAATGTGACCATAATCTCATAGTGATGTCGTAATAAGTATTAAAGTCATTTTAAAAGTTAGTTTTGTCTTTTTTTGCTTCATTTTATTGATGAAAAGAAACATGTTTTTATCTGATGAAAACTTTAAAGGTTTGCTTTATTTGATTTGTTACTTTTTATTTTGAGTTTGACATTGTACAACTTGGTTTAACAACCCTAACGTTGAGCAGGACAATCACAAAAGCAAAAAGAAACAAATAAATAAATTAATAAATTAATTTTAAATAAATAAATAAAGGAGAAAAAAATTCTATAAAGAATAGAAATACAATCATTTAGTTTCATCGCTAAGATTAAGTTTTCCACATTGACATCAGAGTATACAACAGGCAAAACAACAACCTAATACCTCACATTACTAAGTATTGCTCGACACACTCCCATCTATCCCGGAACCGATCCACCTTCATTTGCAGTATAGACGTCATCGTTTCCATTACATATATTTGTTTAATTCTCTCTTTCCATTCCTTTATAGTTGGGGAGTTCACCTCCTTCCATTTTACTGTTATAATTTTCTTTGCAGCCAATAATAGAATATGGGCAATATATCTTTGGTCTAAGTTTAATATTTTGTTTGATGTAGCCTCCAACAGATAGAACAAAGGGTGTGAAGGTAACTCCCTTCCCAGAATTTTTTCCAACTCTTCCTTTATGTCTTTCCAATATTTAAGAATAACTGGATAGTTCCAGAATATATGAGAGTGGTCCCCCACCTCCCCACAGTTCCTCCAGCAAAGTGGGGACAGGTCATCTTTTGCTTTATTTGATTTGATTTTAACTTTTTTGAAAACTTATAATTTATATTAATGAAGGAATCATGTGGTGGAGGTTGTTGTAGGACCCAAAATGCAGGAGGCAGCCTGAAAGGTAAAAAACCAGACATTTATTATAAAATTGTGATTTGGATAAAATAAGACACTAGGAGTAAATGCTGAAAGGACACACTAATAGATAACTAAGTAAAACAGAACTGGACTAAGGGAACAGAACACAATAAACAGAAAACATAAGTACAACTGAACTAAAAAGCTGGGGGTGAACAAGGCTGCATTAATCTAAGGGGACAGGAAACACATCTAAGAGAACACAGGGGTCATGGGTGAAGGTCATATGAGGAGGACTAAAATGAATACTGGGGAGAAAAGGGAGAGGTGATATAGAACATATGATGACATAGGACACAACTCAACAGACGATCAGTAGAACATAGAAAGGAGTGCGAGAGAGAAACAAGTCAAAAACACACAAGAGTAGCAAAACAAGAAGCAGAAAGCACAATAAAGAAGTCAGCCGTAACAGATCACTGCACAAGAGAAAACCGTGTAATGGACTGGGACAACACAAGGATCATAAACACTGAACAACAGAATTACAAAAGACGGATAAAAGAAACTATCGAGATAAGGAGACGTGGATGTGGGACCATGAACAGAGACGATGGAGTTTACTCGTTGGATCGCGCATGGGACTGCATCATCGGAGAGGGGACTGCCCGCGGATAAACGGAGTAGGAAGTGACGCCACCGTCAGCGTCAGCTCTGAGGATGTTTTGCAGTCGGCAAACGAAACGTACGTCAGCAAGGTAAAGAAAAACCTTTCCTGTGTTTTAAACAGAACCAAAAATGGAATTAGAAACTAAACACGTAAGAACACACCAAAGATGTTTAAAAATGATAAGAGGCGTCTAAGGAAAAACGTAAAGGAAACCTAGAGAGCCTGGAGGGGGTTGGGGACACACAGGGACGCTGAAACCTGGGGGGAACACCTAAGGGGAAAAAGCCTGGAGTGGCCTGGGGAACACAAGGAGGCACATGAGGAGCGATGCAGACATGGAGATACATGAGAAACACAAGGAGACACATGAGGGAAACCTAGAGAGGGATGGAGAACACAAGGAGACACATGAGGGAGACGCAGGACGCAGACCATGACAGGTGAAGCAGCAGTGGCATCAGGAGGGAATATCTGTGGCCTGCATCAGGGAAGTGGCAGGTGCGTGTTTTGCAACCCCTAACATGTTCGCGGTGACCAAGGAGCTATATGCGGTGATAGGGGATGTGCTTGGTGCTACAGTTGTGTTTAGTGGGCTGTTGATGGTGGTGTGTTGGACAAAGGCCCAATACCTTATCGCGCTGAGGCTCGAGGAGTTTATGGGGGTGGGAGTCGCTGTTACTGAGTCGCTTTCTGGGGCTTTAAGTGGGTGGTGTGCAGATTGTCAAACGACGTTTCTGAACCTGAAATGTTTGACTCCGTGTGTGGGGCTGTAGTGGTGGCTGTTCGGCGTCTGTGGTTTGATGCCTGTGGATCCACTCCACTGTTGTTGACGCGGTGGAGCTCCCTGCCTGTGTCATGTTGGGCTTTCTCAGCTACTCAGTCAGGGCATTTGAGGAACGTCCTTTGAGGTGCTTTAGGTGTCAGGGCTCTGGGCATGTGGCTGTTGCCTGTGTGATGGGTGTGAGGGTGCCCATGAGGGCAAGCATTGTGATCTGCCGCTCCCCTTTTATGATTGTGGTGGGGACCATCAGGCGGCTTATAGGGGTTGTGTGACACATAGATCGGCGGTGGAAGTGGAGAAGTTTCAGTCAGAGCAGTGTGTCGTATGGTGGTTGACCCTCTGGAGGCAGGCGTTGCAGATTTGCAACATTAAAACCTACCTAGCTGGTTACTCCACATACGTGTTTCATGAGCATTTTTTAACTCAGAAGTACCCCTGAAGGACTTAGTTGTTCGTCCTTTTATCATAACTTATTTTGAGCCTGAGAGGGTTAAGAGTGGGGGTGTGTTGAGGTCAGGGCGTCTGTCGGCAGGTGGTGTGGTGTGGTGGTGGTGAGGGATTAGAGGAAGTTTTTGGCCTTTCTGGTTGAAGCTTTGTGGAGGGCGAAACATGTGGCGACCAACAAATTAGATGTAGCTCGCGAGGTGACTGTTGCTGCGGAGAACTTTGTGGGGTTTTGTGACATGTCTTCTGAGGAGGTATGGGGGCCTGCGTGTTCTCACAGGGTTGGGGGATTAGGGTCTGCTGTGGGTCGTCCTTGGTGGAGGATGTTGGTGGTGGGTGTGTGTGTGTGTGTGGGGGGGGGGGGGGGGGGGGGTAGAGTAAGGTTTGTATGTGTGTGTGTTCATTTAGGAGTGGAGGGGAGTTCTGTTGTTGGTAACTCTGTGGGTGCACGGGGGTGGGGAGGTTTGTTTGAGCACGGCGGGTTGCGCTGGGTTCTCTGTGGTGGCTGATGTGGCAGCAATGCGCCTTTTTGGCGTCTAGCCTGCCTCAATTAATGAAGAAGAAGAAGAAGAAGAAAAAAGAGTTGCTTCTCATTTTTTAAACAACCATGTATAAAGACAAATTTGGTGGTCGTGGAAAAGATGTCAGTCTGTTTGTGAAGGGTCAGATCATTGACATGCATCAAGCAGAGAAAACATCTAAGGAGATCGCAGAAACGACTGAGTTAAGAACTGTCCAACGCTTTATCAAAAACTGGTTTGATGAGTCCAGATGGACCCTGTTCCAGTGTGATGGTGTATCAGGATAAGAAGAGATGCAGATGAAGTGATGCATCATGCCTAGTGCCTACTGTACAAGCCTGTGGGGGCAGTGCTATGATATGGGGTTGCTGCAGTTGGTCAGGTCTAGGTTCAGCAACAAAATGTGCTCCAAGAATGAGGTGAGCTGACTACTTGAATATCCTGAATGACCAGGTTATTCCATCTTCCTTGATGACACGGGCATATTCCAAGATGACAATGCCAAGATTCATTGGGCTCAAATAGTGAAAGAATGGTTCAGGAAGCATGAGACATCATTCTCGCTGTAAACGTCCACAAAGTGTCAATTTTCACCTATATATTGACCTACGTCATCCACTGGAACAAGTCCACTATCTAAGTGGATTTTCTATTCTATCTTTTAAAGCCCAGAAGATTCAGCAGTGCTTGTTACACAAAATAACAAGACAGTCAAACGTTCTCTCCCAAGGTTTCCAAGCCTTTCCTCTTATCGCAACTGCAGGATTCCTCCCTCTGAATAAAGAGTGAACATTTACAGCTCATATGTTTAAATAATCATCTGGTTGAATGAACCAGATGTTAAATGAAATGTTTGAATAATCTGTGCCTAATTCAGTGAAGTTGAAATGAATATTATTGCTTATAATACTCCATTTGTATCTTTTGATCAGTACTGTTTGATTTAACAAGTTAATCATTATCTACACTCATACACAATGTTCATTAGATGCAAAATAAGGTTAAGGCCATCTCACATAATTAAACTGCAGTCGTTACGCTATACAGCTGACGCTACATCTCACATGGATTGGCCACCACAGAGTCCAGACCTGAACCCCATTGAGAATCTTTGGGATGTGCTGGAGAAGGCTTTGTGCAGTGGTCAGACTCTACCATAATCAATGCAAGATCTTGGTGACACATTAATGCAACACTGGATGGAGATAAATCTTGTGACATTGCAGAAGTTTATCGAAACAACACAACAGAGAATGAGAGCTGTAATCAAAGCTAAAGGTGGTCTATTGAAATATTAGAGTGTGACCTTGTTGCTCCCCCTGCAAGAAGACTAACCACTGATACAGCAATACATCTAAAACATACAATACAATATTAAGTGTAATTTCACATTTTCACAGTGAAACTCAAAATTCCTAATGTTGTTGAATGCAGCACAGCTCTACAAGCAGTGATCTCCATGACCCCGAAAGGAGTCAGGTGGTAAACAGCTGAAGTCAGTTTTGTTCAAATGAAAATTAGAGGACAATAAATACCCCAGTACGTAAAATTAGGTTTGTTTAGATAGATAAATATTGGTGACATCAGATTATTACCAGTAGTAGGTGCAGCTAGCATGAGACATTTGGTTGCAGGCGAACACTTAAGTTATCTGCAATTCCACGCTGAGTTCCATTGTAATGATGAAATCTAATGTAGAGACTGATAGGAGCAGCTGTAGAGCACTAAACCAGGGATTCTCAATGGGAGGTAGCTGCTAACTGCTAACAGCTCTCT